CCTTAGCGATCAGGGAAATGCAAATCAAGACAACGTACACCTGTCAAAATGGCTAAAATCAAAACCACCAATAATAGCCTTTGCTGGAGAGGTTGTGGAGAAAGGGGTACACTCATCCATTGCTGGTGGGAATGCAAACTTGTGCAACCACTTTGGAAAGCAGTGTGGCAGTTTCTCAGGAAACTCGGGATCAACCTACCCCTGGACCCAGCAATACCACTCTTGGGAATATACCCAAGAGAAGCCCTATCATACAACAAAAGTATATGCTCTACTATGTTCATAGCAGCATTGTTTGTAATAGCCAGAACCTGGAAACAACCTAGATGCCCTTCAATGGAAGAATGGATGAAGAAAGTATGGAATATATACATATTAGAGTACTACTCAGCAGTAAAAAACAAGGACTTCTTGAATTTTGCATGCAAATGGATGGAAATAGAAAACACTATCCTGAGTGAGGTAATCCAGACCCAAAAAGAGGAAAATGGGATGTACTCACTCATATTTGGTTTCTAGCCATAAACAAAGGACATGGAGCCTATAATTAGTGATCCTAGAGAAGCTAAATAAGGAGAACCCAAAGAAAAACATATAGGCATCCTCCTGAATATTAACCTTCATCAGGCGATGAAAGGAGACAGAGACCCACATTGGAGCACCAGACAGGAATCTCAAGGTCCAAATCAGGAGCAGAAGGAGAGAGAGCACGAGCAAGGAACTCAGGACCTCGAGGGGTGCACCCACACACTGAGACAATGGGGATGTTCTATCGGGGACTCACCAAGGCCAGCTGGAATGGGTCTGAAAAAGCCTGGGATAAAACCGGACTAGCTGAACATAGCGGACAATGAGGACTACTGAGAACTCAAGAACAATGGCAATGGGTTTTTGATCCTACTGCACGTACTGGCTTTGTGGGACAGTTTGGATGCTCACCTTACTAGACCTGGATGGAGGTGGGTGGTCCTTGGACTTCCCACAGGTCAGGGAACCCTGATTGCTCTTTGGGCTGACGAGGGAGGGGAACTTGACTGGGGGAGGGGGAGGGAAATGGGAGGCGGTGGCGGGGAAGAGACAGAAATCTTTAATAAATAAATAAATTAAAAAAATTATTCCAAGCTCTTTTGGAAACAAAGAAGTGAGCATGTACTTTCATGGACTCAGATGAGATGGCTCAATGTAATCAAATCTTTTTTTACATATGCTTTTATTTTTTGTGGTATTCTGAAAACATTTACTTCATCTCCTCTTATCCAGTTCTAGTGGGCTAGAAATGCATTAGGTCAGCAGAAGTAAAGCAAAGGCGAACTTGGGGCAGATTTATCTGCTGTTTCAGCACTTTCCTCTGGCTCGATGGGGTGAGCTGGTCATTAGCATTAGAGACACCCCTCGTCTTTTAAAAAATTATTTTATATGTATGAGTGTGAGATGTGAGTCTGTGTACATCACATGTGTGTCTGGTATCCTGGAGGGCAGAAGAAGGGACTGCAGTGGCCTGGAATTGTAGTTATGGACGGTGGCAAGTGGTTGGGAATCAAACCTGGGTCCTCTGCAAGAGCAACAAGTGTTCCTAACCAGGGAGCTGTCTCTCTAACCACTCTTCCCATCCTTATATGTATTTGAAAGATGAGATCTTTAAGGCATCATTTACTTACTAATAAGTCCTATGTTGACTTCTCAGCATGTGCTTCATGTATTTGAAGATGGTGTGCAGTGTTAGTGTGGTTAAAACATAAAAAAAAAACCCAGCACTATTTCTGCTTCTATTCCAAAACCATAGATGCTTGCAGTAATATTATTCACTCCTAACTGTGTTTGTGTGTCTGTGTTCATGTGTATGCATGCATGTATGTGTGTGAAGGCTGAAGTCCATGTCAGATCTCTATCTATCTATCTATCTATCTATCTATCTATCTATCTATCTATCTATATTTGTTTGTTTTTTTGAGACAGGGTTTCTCTATGTAATAGCCCTAGCTGTCCTGGAACTAGCTCTGTAGACCAGGTTGGTCTTGAACTTACAGAGATCTTCCTGCCTCTGCCTCTCGAGTGCTGGGATTAAGGGTATGTACCATCACCACCCAGCTGATGTCTTTTTCAATCACAGTCCACCTTACTTTTGGAAATGGGTTTCTCACTGAACCTGGAGCTTGCTGATTCATCTAGACTGGCTGTCCAGCAGGCATGCAGGGAGCCCTGCGCCCTTACCCAGAATGGGATTCGAACCTCATGCTGCTGTGCTCGGCTTTGCTGTGGTCAATGGGGATTAGAACCAAGTCCTCATGCTTGCACAGTGTCCTGGTTAACCTGACACAAGTTAGAGCCATCTGGGAAGTGGGAACCTTCATTGAGAAAATGCCTGTGGTTGATTATGGTGGGCCCAGCCTCTGGAGGGTGGTGCCACCCCTGGGTAGATGGTCCTGAGCTGTATGAGAAAGCAGGCTGAGCAAAGTGTGAGGAACAAGCCAGAAAGCATCCTCCATGGTCCCTGCATCCGCTCCTGCCTCCAGGCTCCTGCCTCCAGGCTCCTGCCTTGACTTGTTTTGAGGAAGGACTGTGATGTGGAATTGTAAGCCAAATAAACCTTCCCTCCTCCAGTTACTTGGTCATGGCACTGATCACAGCAATATGAGTCTAGTTAAGACACACGGCAAACGCTTTACCCACTCAGCCATTCTCTGCCAAATCAGTATTCTTTAAGAGAGACATTTTGGCTTGTAATTGCAAGTATAGGTCCATACTTACTTAGAAGGAATCATGGATATTTCACCTGTTTGACTATGGAATTTTTCTCAATATTGAATACTTTATTATTTTTTTTATTGAAAGAAAAAAAATTCCCGCCTCCTCCCAGCCTCCCATTTCCCTCCCCCTCCTCCCACTCTTCTCCTCCTCCCCCCACTCCTCTCCCCCTCCCTCTCCAGTCCGAAGAGCAGTCAGGGTTCCCTGCCCTGTGGAAAGTCCAAGGTCCTCCCCCCTCCATCCTTTATTTATTATTTTATCTTGGATGTTTGTACTTATTGGGATGTCTGACGTTTTATTTCTGGATGATACGATGGATGGGGAGGCCAGTAGGATAGGGAAGTGTTCTTGTCTTTGGGAAGTTGGTTTATTTGTTGCATATGAACCAAGCACAAGTGACAGATTTAGTGCCGTGGGTCATCCTAGGTACGATTACATGTGGCACAGTTCCGTACAAGGTAGAAAAGGCCAGGTTTTTTGTTTTTGTTTTTGTTTGTTTTTAAAACACGTTTGGAAGTCTGGTTGCAGTCTGGGATGGAAGTGCCACAGTGCCCAGAAGTTGCAGCTTTGTCTCCTGTGCCTTCCACATCACCGTCTTTCTTGGCAGCAGGAAGGGACCTGGGCGAGAAGCAGGGAGAGGGTGTTTGCAGCTGCCATTCAGTGGATTTCAGGCAAGCAATCGTGCATCTTATGTTGCTGTTCTGTTGGTCAGACCCAAGTCCAGGCCGACAGGGAACAATGCAGTCTTGGCTGACACACGTCAGGGGAAGTCAGGGACATTTTGAAAAGGGAGAGTGAGAGGCTGGACATAGTGGCCTTTAGTCTCAGCATTCTGGAGGCAGAGGCAGGCAGATCTTCTTTAGGGCAGAGCCAGCCTGGTCTTTGTAATGAGTTCTAGGCCAGTAAGAGCCTGGGAAACTTTTTATTTGGGTAGTGACTGTTGACTGGTTCTGTAGTATTCCAGAATTCCAGATGGTAGGACCCTGCAGCTGACTGCCACTGGCCTTACTAGGTCTAAGGCTCTGGAGGGCAGGGAAAGGACATTCTTGAAGGTTCTATAGCATTGTTGAATCTACAGTCTGTGAGTTATGGCTTGGTCTGTCTGTCTTTCAATGTACCCTGTTAGGGTCTTCTATAAGAATGTTCCACCTTAAGACAGATTTTACAGAGGGTTTTTCTGTCTTTGCTAATCAGCAACAGCTCACACAGATTTGCTAGCATCTTTGTGTGCTAGTCACTGAAACTTTGTGAAGATTTGACCCCATGATGATCTGTGTAGTGTTGTCGCAGGCTTGCTGTGGCCACGGGAGATTTAACGGTCTGTGAGTCACTTTTTCCACAGGACACCTTAAAGCGGGGAGTGCAGGAGCTTGTATTTGAGCCAGGCCTAGCTCCTCCTCCACCCAGTACAATAACTTTTAAAAATTACATAGATAGTTTGCACAGGCAGGAGACTCGAGTGAGGGGATTTTAGTGCCCTGGGACCTAGGAGCGCCTTTTGTCTCAGGATTTTGTTAGTGTTTTGCAAAACCACTTAGAATGTTTCAGGCTGCGAGGACACTGCCCTTTTGAGCTGGTTAGTTTTAAAGCATTGCAAGGCAGCCTGTGCAGGGCACGCGACATGTCAACAGGTGATCGTGTGGGAAAGCCTGCAGAGCTATCACACTGGAAAGGCTCCTATGCGCGTTCACATGGTACGTGTTGTTAGAGCTTGTGTTTGAGCCACTGTGCCTTCCTTGTGGAGTGGAGCACACCTGTTCTCGGCGCCTATTTTCTCACGAGCAGGCCTTCATGAGCCAGCACATACAGAATTTAGCATTAAAGCTTTCTGCTTCAAGCTGAGGTTTTTGACCCCACTGCTAATATAGATGTTCTCGTAATTCCCTCTCTTCAGCCTCCTGTGTAAACAAAAAAGAGTCAAAGGGAAAATTGTATGAGTGATTGCAGCATTAAATGACTAGAGGAAGCCATTTGAATTCTTTAAAATCCTCTCTCAACTTTAGTTTCAGATTGCCATGTTCTTACATCGTGAGTTTCTTATGTGGGCAGGACCCGGGTGTGGATACAGCCTACTTATCAGTTGACAGTGCGGCTCCTTCATCAAAAACATTGTAAGCCGTGAGTGGCATTGATGATTGCGTGCTGAGCTCTGCAGATGTGCAGCCTGGCCTGTGGTAGCTTCGCTCCCTGGGCCCAAGCGGTCACAAAACCAAGCCATCGTTCTGTCCTAAGTGTTGACTCTCATTGACTTGTAGGGCGATTTGACAAGACTGTTATTGAGGAGAGACGCCAGTGTGCCGAAGACTTGCTCCAGTTCTCCGCCAACACTCCCGCCTTGTACAACAGTAAGCAGCTCGAGGACTTCTTCAAGGTTTGTAGTTTTTCTGGGAAGTGTGTGCTGTGACACGCTTTTGCCCTTGGTGTGTGGAGATTCAGGGGGAAAGCTCCCTCGCTCTGAAGTTCTGTTCTTTACTGGGAAGCAGAGGTTCCAGCGCAGCCTCTGTTGTCTTCGGCTGGGCTTCCTCCATCACCCTGTGACCCAGAGAGCATCCCTAGTCTTCTGTTAGGTGGGAGGAGAGAAGGTCTGCATTCCCCTGTCATTTGATGGATCGATTGGAGTGTTGGCACAAAAGACGGCAAGCCGGACGTTAAAGCACCAAAGGAGTTAGTATTTCAGTGATGTGATTGTTTAAGGATTATCTGCCTCCTTGTCTGTGATTAGATGTTCAGTCCATAAAGTCCCATCATGGCGTCCCTGCTGTACCAGTGTGGTGACTGCCATCTGAGTGTGAACAGAGAAGCAATAGCTCCATGGCCTGAATTTGTAAACTTAGTACATGATTAAAGAAGTGATCGCGTGGAGATTCAGTTTTAGTTAATTCTGAAACAGGGTTCCGCACCATAACCCAGTAGCTCCCGTGATCCTCCTGTGCTGGGTTTGGTCGCAGGAATGCCACGCCTTGTTCAGCAGTCAGGAGCTCTCACTGTTCCGGCAGAGGACCTGGGTTTGGCTCTTAGCACTCACATGAGGTGTGCACAGCTGCCTGTAACTCCAGTTCCAGGGTATCTTACACCTACTGGCTCTGTAGGCGCCGCACACCTGGGCGCACATACATGCATTCAGGCACACAAATCTACCCATAAAATAAAATAAAGTAAGTCTCTTTATTAAAGATAACCTTAATTTCTTTATGGTGTGCACGGATAGCTTTCCATACAAGTATCTTCTCAGACATCTGAGGTGCTGTGGATATAGCATTTGTGATTTGATAAAATCCAGTGACTTTCTGATGAGCCCCACACTGGTTAGATGATCAGGCCCTAAGAACACTGTGAGTTGACCAGCTGCTGAGTTTTGTGGGTTTTTTTTCTCTCTCTCTCTCATTTTTTTTTTTTTTGTATTGGTACATTTTCTTAAAATCGGGGGCAGATTTTAAACAATGTGCTCTCACAATATAGTTGGGTATGGAGGTACATATCATTGATTCCAGCATTCAAGAAGCACAGGCAGGCTTCTGGATTCTAGGCCAACCTGGCCTACATAGTGGGTTTCAGGCCAGTAAGGGCTAGACAGTGAGACCCTGTCTAAAAATAGTTACATTAAGCATGGTAGTATTATTAAAAAATATGAATTAAAAAAGGAACAGATTATCTTTAGAGGAGCTTAGGTTTGCAGAGAGCCTGTGGAAGTCGTTTGCCCCTGTGTCCTTAGCTCTCCCCGAGTGTGGCTGGGCCGCATCTTTACAGGGGAGCAAGACCTGTTTGCTCTCCTGATGCTCTGCAAAGGGTAAACCCGTGGGTAGCTACCACAGCCTTGTGAGTGCTTCTTTGTTCATTGCCCATCTTTCTGTGCTCTGGTTGACAAGGATGCATGACTGCTCTGCCCTTCCAGGGTGGGGTGATTAATGACGGCTCTGCACTAATTGGTCCTGTTGACGAGCACCCAGACTCCCTGCCTGACACCTTTCCTGAGTGTGGTGTGGAAGGTAAGACACTTTACTCTTGTGTTGACTCAGAGGCTTCGGTTGCAGAGGATGTGGGTCACATTGCATTGGAACAACAGCTGTCTCTGAGAGGTGGAGGGCCTTCCTTTAGCCGACATCCATACAGCAGTCCTGGGCTGGCTTGGTGATGTCTCACACTTGCCCGGCAGCTTTGCTCTGATGACATAACGAGGGAGTCAGACCTCAGTAAGACATTCCATGCACAGACAGTGGGCCTTGCTGTGTGAGTGCCTGCCGGAGCCTACCCAGCTGTACCTGACTCTTAGCCCATTGCAAGGCCAACTTTAAATGAGGCTTGTCACCCCGGGAAGAATTAAGCCCCAAAGGCGATGGGTGCTTTCCTTCTTTAGCTTTAGCTTTGACTTGAGAGTCACAGGGGTGAGGGGAGTATAGAGTTGGTGGTGTCCATAGTAATTCTTCATTGCCTGTGGGGAACCAGGGGAGGCGGAAAGGCTACCCAGAGCCCATTTCACATGGACATTGTCCTGGGTGGGAGTGGTTTGGAGACCTGTCTGATTTTGGTGATGGACCAGGACAGAAGCAGAGGAGTCTTGTGTTTGGAAACGATTTTTTGGGGGTGGTGTTTAAATGTTGAAGGGTGTTGAAGGTGCGCAGATGGTGGCATCCTCTCCCTCCAGAGGAGTCGAAGCCTGGCTGATGATTTCTGCTGAAAGACACCTGCAGAGCCCTCCATCAGCCTGCTTCTCCCAGCTACACCCCCAACTTTCAAAATTGACACCACCGACAGGGAACTAATTCGGACACATGAGCCCGTGGGGACATTTCACACTCAAAACCCAACACTTGCCAAGATAGGAATCCAGACTGAGGAGTGATGGAGGAAGGTCATTGGTTAAATAAAAAGAAACTGCTTGGCCCTCATTGGTTAGAAGATAGGTGGGAGGAGTAAACAGAACAGAACACTGGGAGGAAGAGGAAGTGAGCTCAGACTCCACAGCTCTCCTCTCGGGAGCAGACGCCTCAGAGGGACGCCATGCTCCCAGCTCCCAGGCAGATGCACGTGATGAAGCTCCAACCCAGGATGGACGTAGGCTAGAATCTTCCCAGTAAGCGCACCTAGGGGCGCTACACAGATGATTAGAAATGGGCTAAATTAATATGTGAGAATTAGCCTAGAAGAGGCTAGATAGAAATGGGCCAAGCAGTGATTAAATGAATACAGTTTGTGTGTTGTTATTTCAGGCATAAGCTAGCCAGGCAGTCGGGGTGCTGGGGACGCCGCCCCGCCGCCCTTATTACTACAGAGGAGGGCCAGTCTTGTTCATCAGGGCCCACGAGAACTACATTTATGTCCTCTGAAGGTGATGTCCTCATGGTATCTCCTACTGGGTCCTAGCTCTGTTGGTTCCACTTGGTCACAGTTCCACCAAGGAGTGAGCATAATAGCCTCTGGGAGGGAGCGCTTGTTCATGTCCCAGACAGACATGCTAAGTGATTATTATGATAGTTGTTGTTTGCCTTTTAAATGCATGATTGATGAGTTCTAGTTTAGTTCAAAAGGGCATGGAAACACAAATATTTGGACTTTCTCTTCGTTTTTTGATTACTGCAGTACAGTGGACGAAAGAGTCCTCTTTCAGATTGCGTAAAACGGAACTGGATGGCAGCGGCCCAGGTGTGAAACAAGAACATCAAATGAGTTGGTTTCATACAAAATGTACATTTTCTTAACTTTTAAAAAAGATTTTTTCCTTATTTCATGTGTGTAAGTGTTTTAAGTGCATATGTGTCTGTGCACCCACGTTTGTGTTTGATGCCTGCGGAAATCAGAGGAGGGTGTCAGGTTCCCTGGAGCTGGAGTCCTGGACAGTTGTGAGCTAGGACCTGAGCCATAAGAGCATGTGCTCCCACCACTTTCCTGCCTACATGACACTAGCTCTTCTCTCTCCCCTGCACAGAGCAGTTAGACCCCATCCCTGATGATAAGAGGAGGGCTCACTGTTGACGAACACCTCTTTTCTATTTGAAACTTGTGTGCTTTATTAGAATTACTGAGATGGTGGTGGGCATGGTAGCCCAGCCTCTTGGAGGGAGCGCTTCTCTCCTCTGCTGGCCTGCTTGAGGGATGCAGGTGGCCTTGCTGCTAACCTGCTACATTTTGGATAGTGTTTTTTTGTTTTTGTTTTTTAACATTGGAGGATTACTGGGAAGGTGCATAGTTTTTTTTAAGTTGGATTTAAAAAGTCTCTTTTATAAGGCTGGCTAAGGCCTCTGTGGTGGGTTGCTTGCTGAGTGTGAGGATCTGAGTTCAGGCGCTGCTGGACGCGTGTGCAGTCCCATCACTACTACAGAGAGGTGGGAGGTGGAGGCAGGAGATGTGGGACAGCTCGCCTGGGGTGTGCTGAACCAGCTAGCCTGTATGCTGTGTCATCTGTGTACATGCTTACACACACAAACATGCATGATACACATACATGAAAATACACAGAGCATTAAAATACCCTTTGTTTTTTAACTTTTTGTGTTCATTTCTATTTAGTGAATTTAATGTCTGCGCTTCAAGGCAGTCACTTTAAATATGAATATCCTTAAGTTGGCCCGTTAGCTAATAACAAAAGTCTGTTAGGATTGACCTAAAGTCTGTCCAACTAAAAGCAGTTTGCACTGAAATAGATTTTTTTATTCTACAAATGTCCACAAGGTGGCACCATGGGAATTCAAATCTTAGGGCCGGGCTTCCTCTCCTCCATCCTGTGTTCTAGAGGAATGAGAACCCTCAGCTTGAAGGAGTTCCGCTTTTGTTCTCAAGTGTTGTTCACTCACCCTCGCTCACTTCCCACGGCTAATTAAATTTGCTTCAGCGGGAAATCTTAAAACAAATAGGGACTTTTCCTTAAAATAAGCACAGTCGAGTGAGGGCTGGTGGTGCACACCTGTGGTCCCAGCACTTCAGAGATGGAGGCAGGAGAATCAGGAATTGAGTTAGACTCACCTACACAGTGAGTTTAAGGTTGTTAGCAGAGTTCCTTTCTGAAGAAACCAATCCAACCAAGACCCAACAAATAAACAAAGGTAAACACACACGTGAGTGAGAGAGTCATTGTGTGCATGTTGCTTGAAGATTAGAGCGCCCTACAGGGCTGTGGAGGGTAACACTGGGTATATGGAACTTTGTGGCAGGGTGGGTCACCTGGGTTGTGGATTAGAAGGGACAACAGATGTTATACAAATGTTTTCCTTTTCAGTTAGACATCAGAAGGGCAGCAGTCAGGCCGTATCTGCCCGGCGTTTCTAGTTCCCAGGACGCTGGCCTGCTGTGAAGGGATGAGCACATTCGTCGGGTCCGTCCGCAGTGGAGCAAGCTCAGGGCGTGTCTGGGGAGGTGGCGCCACTGAGTCCAGTTCCCGGTTGGCGCTGTCACTGAGTCCAGTTCCCGGTTGGCGCTAGGGGATTTCACGCCCTATTCTGGCCTTGGAGGGAGCTGATGGATGTAACATAAATGTACACTCACACACATGCGTGTGTAGGATGACTGAGTTGGAACCTGGAATCCACAGAAGGATGGGTGGTGGAACAATAGGCCCTTGAGCCAAAAGGAGCTGGGCAGAGCTTAGCCGTGTTTCTGCTGGGCTGTACTGGGGTCAGCACCGGCTTTTGAGGCCTGTTCTATTCCCAAGATATCCACAGCAGTGTCTTTGGGAAGGTAAAGCTCAGGCTTGCTATTGACCTTGGGACTGTCAAGGACTTGCTGCTCCCTGGTTCTAGCTGTTGAGTACCAGAATCGTGACTAGCACAAGACTCTGGATTTAGGGATTTTCTCATAGGCATATTTAGAAGGGCCAGTTTCTTTTCTTTCTTTTAAAAAATGTATTCATCAACAATTTCATATATGCATATAATATACCCCTACACTGTCTCACACTTCCCCACTCTTTCTGGACCCCTTTTTCTCCCTAACTAATCTCCCTCCTGCTTTTCCCTATTTAATTTGAGTGACCCCCTGGGTTTAGTTGGGGTTGCTGATGAGTGTGGGTGTTGACTGTTAACTGGAGCATGGTTGTCTTTCCATGGCTACTGAAGAAAATGGCTGCTCTCCCTGCGGCCATTAGCAGCCATCAGCTCCCCAGCTAGGGGTGGGGCCTCACGAGGCTCTCCTCTAAGAAGGGCTTGCTTCTCAGGGAATCAGATCCGGTACTGTCAGGTTCCTGTGTCCTCTGCCTCCTGGTAATCTAGGTTCTGGGCTGGGTGCTTTTTTTCATGCATGTAGCAGGAGTGATTGCTGCTGGGACAAGAAGAGACTTCCTTTGGTTGACTGTGGCAATGTTTGAACCACAGAGTTGAGTAGAGGTGATGAGCTAATAGTAACGAGGCCACGTGTTTTATAGATAGTCACCCACGAGAGGCCACCTGTTGTCAAAGGAGGCCGCTCTCTTTGTGCAGATGGTCTTCAAATGCAGGGTTCTGATGGCTCGTAGTATAAAGCTCCTGTGTGTGGCAGCTCAACCTTTCCCCCAGGCCCGTCTTTTAGAGATGGTGTCCTAGGCAGATTTCGCTACACTGCCTGACTCTGAGCAGTTCAAAGCCCAGAGGTGAGGGCAGGCAGGTGGACTGGGATGCTAAGCACACCCCTCGTGTCTGTAGCTGCTTTTTTAACAAGTCACCTGGGGCCCTCTAATAGCACCGAGACTGGAATCTCTGTGATCCACACCCGGAGGCAGGAGACTTTCATGGAACCTTTGACTTCCCCTTGTATCACTTCCAAAAGAGGAGTAGGGGCCCGTGGAAGGGTGCTCCTCTGGGGATGTCCTGAGCGTCCCTGTGAGGGCGGGTTGGCTTTAGGCTGGTTTAACTCTGGCAGCTCTTCTGTGTGTTGTGCAAGTACCCGCGCTGCCTGCCCCACCCACTGCTCCTCCTCCTCAGCAAGACTCACAGCCTGTAATGTGCTTGTCACTCCCTGTGGCACACTTATTCACTCCCTTTCTGGGCTGTAGTCTCCATTTCATGTGATGCTCAGATGTAGTTTTATCTAAAACAGACTGAGTTGTAGGGCCATATTGAGTTGCTGAGCAAGACTATATCAGCAGATGTACTCAGGTAAATAAAGTAGGTATTGACTTTTACATGTCATGTCTATATATCTGTATGTGTGCACATGTGTGCACTTGTGTTTTATACAGCATATCTATGTCTGTATGTGTACACATATACAGATGTGTATTTACATGTCATGTCTGTACATCTATATGTGTGCACATATGCATGTGTATTTACATCTCTGTCCTATACAGCTGCACATCATGTGCATATATACATGTGTGTATTTACGCAGTCTGTCTTCCTGTACATCTATATGTGTGCACATGTATGCATTATTTGGATTATATTTGCTGGAGAATAAAGTTGTAAAAAGCAGGAGGAAGCGAAACTATGTTCTTAGATTTTTGTTGTCAAAAGCCAAGAAACTGAGCATACGTAATCACCTGCTTACCTTCTGGTCCTGTTGGGAAAGGGAAATCAGGTGCAGCATGAAACAGCCGTGAGGTGGAGGAAGTGGAGGTTCCATGAGGAGGCTGTGATGGATAAGGGGGCGCTGCTCAGGTCGAGAGGCGCTGGAGAACACACAGGAACTCCCAGTCCTCTCCTTCATTGTCTGGATACATAGACTCTTCCTCAGTTGAATTTCTAGTAGTTTCAATACAGTAGTTAGACAATGACAACATTTAAGGAAATAAGTTTGCATTAATACACATGAAGTATTTTAAAATTACTCATAAAATTAATATAATTTTAAGAATAGTGGGTGAATAATTTTGGGTGCTGTAGGAAGATTTTGACTATGAAATGCTGTTCAAGAACTGACCTGATGTTTCGGTCCAGTGACATCCATTTGAAGCTGTGGGTTTAATGAAATCTGTTCCTTTTTGGGACCCTAAGAATTTGAAAGAAAAAACCAAGAACAAATGAAAACAGTGCTGTATTGACACGTCACCAGGGCCGTGTGTAAGGCTGATCTGACGTGGAGCTCAGCCTCTCCTCACCTCTTCTTCCTTTTACTTTGTTGGGTAGGAAGTGAGCCATTGAGGCCATCATAGGCGATGAACTGGCCCCCAGCTGTTTTCCTTTGGCCTGTGAACTAAGAATTTTTTTAAGTGTTATTAAATGATTGAAAAATCACAAAGAATATAGTAGTTTTTGATGTGACATTCCACACAATTGAAGTTTCAGTGTCCACAACCTAAGTCTTCTCTCTACGCTCCTCTGTCCAGGGTGGCCAGCGTAGAGTCACGACTACAGCAGATCGTGGAGCTGCAGGACTTGAGGCTCTTCCTAGACAGGTGTTTGCAGTCTGATCCACCTGCAGCTCTCGCTCTTAGCACTGCCTCCAGTGGCGACAGCTTCCTTTTAAAATGCCGTTTTATGAATTTGGACATCTCATGGTCAGTGGTAGTGCTGATCTGGAGATGTAGTTCAGTGGTCAGAGGCCTGTTATACAGGTTTGGTCCCCAGAATCATCAAGAAGCCAAACCAAACCAAGCCCTGCCAAATAAAAGCCAGCAGACAGCAGTGCAGCTCTCTGGCTGTGCCGAAACTGCCTCAGGCCATGTGTTCATGAGCCTTGTCTCAGAATCAGCAGCTCCATGTTCATGTGTTCATGAGCCTTGTCTCAGAATCAGCAGCTCGATGGGTGGTTGAGCCCTGTGTGTGTTCCTGAGATCTCTAAGGACCCGTAAAGCTAAAACCTTGTTAATAATACAGTCACCTGAGACATTTTTACTGCACTGACCTTTGCACCGAATGTCACGCACAAAAGCAATGAGGATCAAACTGTTGGAAATGGTGACAGAGGACTAAGACTCGCTGTCACACATACTCATGGTTAGGGTGCTCTGGAGACAACCGTGAGAGGTGTGCCCACTGTCACATCCCAGTCTAGCACGTGGGGAAGCACACACAGCACTCTGCTAAGTCACCAGGCCTGTGACAGGGAAGGCAGTCGTGAGCGGTGGGGCTGAGCTCGGGAGCCATTTTCCCTAAGCCGGTAGCGGATAAGCAGATGTCATTGCCCATGTGCCTTTGGTACAGTTTTTTTCTTGAAATGAGCTGACTTTTCAATGAGAGCAGCCCATAGTATTTGTTGCCGATGAAACAGAGTTTTCCTCCACGAGTTAGGACTTCTGTGTCACTTTGCCACTTTGAATCTGACCGTCTCCCAGAGTGATTTTTATACCCCAGTAACGAAATGAGAGGCTGATGTCTGGAAAGTCTGTGATACCCAGGGAACTGACATTTTTAAAATAATTGATTTGTTAGGCTATAAACAGCATAGATAATAGATTATTCAAGACAGACCAATGGATTTAAATGTAGTGAACCCTACAAATGTCACTTTTCAGATTCTATGTATTGCACAGTGCAGCCATCCTGAAGGCAGCAGCACTGCAGAGCTTAGTGTTATATAGGAAAATGGGTACAACGCAATGCTGCCAAGCTCGGTGACTTGAGTCCGGTCCCTGGGTCTGATGTGGTGGAAGGAAAGACCTGACTCCACAGATGTGTCCTCCATCCTCCACATAGGCCCCTCTACGTAATAACAAAAGGGAAAGCAATAGACACTTTCCCTTTATCTCCTCCTCCAGCCACAACCTTGTGATGACCGACAGCAGCCAAGGGTCAGGAAGCCCTCATATTCTCTTCTCAGACCCTGAGACTTTAAAAATAGGAAAGATGGCCACTTCACCCAATACGTACTTTTGTTTTGACAAATGTAGTTATTTTTCATAAGATACAACAGTGTGTAATCATTTTAGTGTTTTGTTTTAAGAGATTTATTTTATCTTATGTGTATGGGTGTTTGCCTGCATGTATTAATGTGTACCACGTGTGTGCGTGGTGCCTTCAGAGGCCAGGAGAACATGGATGGTGCTGAGTTATGGTGTAGCATCAGATGACCCAAGCTGAGACAGTCTGCTAGAACCTGCCAGCCACCAGTAGGCCACACTGCCCCGGCTGAGCTGGTTATGGGAGGATGGGCAGGCTCTGTGATCTGTGCCCCTGTGGCTACTGCTAGTCTCATGTTGACTCCTGTGTTCCTCATTCCAGGCTTCTCCAGTGACAGTGACCTCCTGTCCCTTACTGTTGATGTGGACTCTCTTGCAGAGGTAGATGATGGAATGGCTTCCCGTCAGGGCTCTCCCAGTAAAGCTTTTGGTCTGAGTCTGTCTGCGGATTCTTCGGCAGCAGGAGCTGTTGCTTCTGACAGTGAACCGAGCAAAGCAGAAGACCGGGAAAGCCGCAGCCTCTTCCCCAGCAGCTTAAAGCCGAGGCTCGGCCGGAGAGATTATCTGGAGAAGGCAGGGGAGCTTATCAAGCTGGCCGTGAAGAAGGAGGAGGAAGACGACTATGAAGCTGCTTCTGACTTTTACAGGAAGGGCGTTGACCTGCTCCTGGAAGGTGTCCAAGGTATGGTTTACCCATAGTCAGGTCCTGGGACAGCTTATGTGCAGAGGAAGTGAGAAATGTCTGTACTGTGCTCGAGCACCCTGTGTCTCTCGTGTTCAGGGCTGGAAACGAGAAACCCCCATCAGTGACGTCACTGCAGGTGCTCAACACAGCAGTCTATGAAAATGGATGATCGCAAAGAGCGGCACCCACGTGTGCTGTGTGAGTGGCAGTCATCCTCCTGCCTGGGCTGCAATGTTCACAGAGCCTTCCTGGGGACTGTCCGGGAGTTCACTCTCAGTGCACCATAACAGTGGAGCAGGGGAGGCTTTTGGTTTGCTGCCCCCCCCCCCCCCCCGCCCTTTGTTAGCTGAGGTGACTGTCACCTTCACCTTGTTAGTGCAGTGACAGGAATGTATGGAGCTGAGCATAGTTTAGAGTCTCTAAGTAGAGCTTACTTGTTTTTGTTTAAAGAACCGCCCTTTGTTTTTGTGCTTTTTTTTTTCCATCCCAGACACAGAATGAAGTGCCCCGTAGTTAGTGAGGCTGACACGACTCTCTTCAGTGTCTAGAAAGCCATTCCTGCTGCTGATCTGTGCTTCTTATCTTCAGCACACCTGGGTCGTGTTATCTAGAACCTTCTGCCCTCTTCTGGAGTGTGTGTATGTGTTTTCACACTGCTTCTTAGCAAGCATTTTGACTGAATTTCTTCTTAAAAGCCTTATTGAGATTTTATTTTATGTGTATGAGTGCTTGCCTGTCTGCCTGTCAGTATGTACCACACGGGAGCTTGATGCCCTGGGAAGAGGACATCAGGTCCCCTGGAATGGAATTACAGACAGTTGTGAGCTGCTGTGTGGGTGCTGGGAACTGAATCAGGACCTCTGGAAGAGCAGTCGGTGCTCTTAACCACTGAGCCATCTCTCCAGCCTGATTCTCTGCTTTAACCCTCATTTCTACCCTGCTGGTTACCTCATTCCTCAGTACGCTAACGTACGTCTGGAGATTGTTTTTTTTTTTAAGTTTTATTTTTTTCTCTCCAGTTGTCCCTTATGACTCTGCACAGTGAAGAAGATCGCTTTTTAGTTTTGTTTGTAGTTGTGTGGGGAGTCAGGCATGTGCACGTGAATGTGTTTTGGCCACAGAAGCAAGTGATTCTCTGGAGCTGAAGTTACAGTTGTCTGTGAGCCGCCTTAACTTGACTCCTCTGGAAGGGCAACATGTGCTGTTCTCTGCTGAGCCAATCCCTCCAACCTCATCTGGAGACTTTTTACCGGGCCGTGGAGTATGTGTGTGTTTGCTAACTTCATTTTGACTGATTCTCCTCTTTCATAGGGGGTCATGAGCTACGTGTTGCCAGTTTCTAAGATGGGGTTGCTCTTCCTGTTCCCCTCAGCTGCCTGCTCTCCGGCAGGGCTTTGCCTGAGTTCATTCTTCTGCAGTTGTGCTAGCGGAGTCTCAGGAATGTAGAGACAGGCGCCTGTGTCCCAATGCCATCTTTACCTGGAGGTTCAGGCTGTACAGTTGGGCTCATGAAGCTGCCAGACATCTGTGTGTGTGGAAACGAAAGGAGTGGACTCTGCTTCTTTTTAGCTGGTAGTGGCCGCTGTGCTGATGTTCTGGCCACGTTTGTCTGACTGTGACGGGTTTCGGTGGCCGACTACCTGTGGAACTTCAGCTCTTACAATTTGATTTTAGCTGTCAGTTTTGACATTTCAGATTGAGAAACCAACTCTGAAGTAATTTGTTTTCATTTTTTGATTAGAGGATGATTTTGGACCTTTTTTTTTTTTTTAAGGCTTTACATAGTTTCGTTGGAGTTTATGTGTGCAGTATTTTGTCTAAAGGGTCTGTTCTTTTCCCTAACTGCCATCTTGAATTGGGGCTCACAGAGGGATGAGTTGCACAATATTTATCTGCTCGGATGTTTCTCCTTTTTTCAGATGTAATATACCGCTTGCTGGAGCATTGTGGGTATTTAATTAGCATAGGTGAGCCACAGCATTGTGACATCTTTCTGTCTAAAAGATAGGGACACTTCATAATGTTGCCACTTGATGGCACCAGAAAAATAAAAATCGTTGCCTCACAATGTAGAAATGCAGATCAGCAAGCGACAAAGACACATTCAGTTGCTATTTGTTCAGCCAGTTAGAGTGGGGTTGTATATCAGACTCGCTGCGAAGTGCACTGAGCGTCTGTCTAAAGTCCAGTTAGCTGTCTAAGCCGTTTCTGTCTTTCTGTGCACGTGTGTCCGAAACCACAGTGTCCCGTCTGCTCCTGATAAGGTTTCATTGTTAACCCGCCATCCTGAAAGAGAGCAGTTGACCCACTGCCCTTAGCATCACAGAGTTTTCTCACTGTGGATGACTTTATTCAGACAAACTGCAGGAACCTCAGCTACTGCCTTCTAGTTTTTTGTTTTCTTTTCTCACTCAGCTTCCGTCTCTGGAATTCTGATTCTTTATAAGGAATATGTGCTTCAGACCATGCTGTTTTGCACGTGGCAATGTGTAAAGTGTGACGTCAGAGCAGTGAGCGCAGTCCCAGGACTCTGCAGAGGTGCAGTGCTCACCGCCACAGGGCCTTGTCCTTGGGGCTCCAGCTTGTACTTGGTTTGACATTCATGCTCAGGAAAGATCCCTCCTTGGGGAAGGTTTATTCTGGTGTGACAAAATGTTACTGGATGTTTCCAGAGTCAGTGAATCTACAAATAAAGAACCTACTGCCTAGCTCTTTCTAGGCAGTTGTTCTCATGACTGGTTTGGGTCTACATGCTTTGTGGTGGTTGTTTCTGGGCCTCTGGTAATCCAGGGGGTCTTCTATGAAGAAGCCTGCAGGTTTTGTCTGTGGTTCTCACAGGCTGGAAGCCTGCAGGTCGTCGTAGAGCTGTTGGAAATGCTTTTTATTTATTTATTTTTACCAACTAGCATCTTCACGCTGGAGACTAATACAAGCATTGTGGTGCAGACCTGCCTGTCAGCAGTAAGCACTTCCTGCTATGGGGGCCTTTGCCCTCTGTGACCCTGACTTTCCTGGAGATGGTTTGCAAAAGGAAGGAAGTACTTTTTTTCTAGACTCAGGTTGCTATGGATTTAAAAGAGAAAGTCTGAAAGTCAAGGTTGTGGGAATGAACTTGAACCTGTGTGGAGAATGGGTAGTCCATTCCAAACCATCCTTCCGTGTCCCCTGCGTCCTCAGAGTGACCTTGTTGGGAGAGTTAGGATAATACAGCATGGCAAACCATTGGCAAAAGGCATTAATGGGTTGTTTAAGCAGCAGCGGCGGCGGCAGCCTGTCCTATGTTAAATACCTCTCACAGTATCAGTGTTTTTCTTATGCTATTTTTAATTTTCAGGAGAGCCAAAGCCAAATTCTAGCTAGTCATACTGGGCGTTGTCTAGGGACACTGAAATTTAGAGGATGCAGATAGTTAATACAATGACCCTAAATCTTGGCTCTTACTTAGCAATAATAATTTGACATTTCAAAATCTGCCAGATGTCAAGCATTATTCCTATACTTTCCCATGGTCCCCTGGGAGCCACAGAGCTGGTCTTGCTGCCTTTAACTGATGTCTCGTGGTTGCCAGACTGGCATGTTGACTCCTCCTGGAGGTGAGGAGGCCGAGGCCTAGTGGAGTTGTGCTGTATTGGTTGGGACAGTGATGTTGAGCTGGGGTTCAGTCTAGGCTTTTCCACATATAAACCTTGTTTCCTGGCTGTCATGTTGCATAGTACCGTGTGACAGTGGCATTCCTCAGCCCCTTGCCTCCCGGTCTATGAACATCATGATGTGGAGGCTCAAGTTCGGTGCGTGCTGAACTTGACTGCACATCCCTTCCTTTTCCACCTCCTGTTCCTCGTTCCTTCAAGCTTCCAGGTAATCATCCCACAAGCAATGTTTACATGTGTGTGCCATGCATGGGCAGAGTGAATTACGTCATGATTGTGATGGCTCTTTCTGCTGCATGTGTCTGGGGTGCGTGGTGACACGGTGTACATCTCGTGATGAGTCATGTGTGTGTGGTGCGTGGTGACACGGTGTACATCTCGTGATGAGTCACGTGTGTGTGGTGACACGGTGTACATCTTGTGATGAGTCACGTGTGTGTGGTGCGTGGTGACACAGTGTACATCTCGTGATGAGTCACGTGTGTGTGGTGCGTGGTGACACGGTGTACATCTCGTGATGAGTCACGTGTGTGTGGTGCGTGGTGACACGGTGTACATCTCGTGATGAGTCACGTGTGTGTGGTGCGTGGTGACACGGTGTACATCTCGTGATGAGTCACGTGTGTGTGGTGCGTGGTGACACAGTGTACATCTCGTGATGAGTCACGTGTGTGTGGTGACACGGTGTACATCTCGTGATGAGTCACGTGTGTGTGGTGTGTGGTGACACGGTGTACATCTCGTGATGAGTCACGTGTGCGTGGTGACACAGTGTACATCTCGTGATGAGTCACGTGTGTGTGGTGTGTGGTGACACGGTGTACATCTCGTGATGAGTCACGTGTGCGTGGTGACACGGTGTACATCTCGTGATGAGTCACGTGTGCGTGGTGACACGGTGTACATCTCGTGATGAGTCACGTGTGTGTGGTGACACGGTGTACATCTCGTGATGAGTCACGTGTGTGTGGTGCTTGGTGACACAGTGTACATCTCGTGATGAGTCACGTGTGTGTGGTGACACGGTGTACATCTCGTGATGAGTCACGTGTGTGTGGTGACACGGTGTACATCTCGTGATGAGTCTTCTGTCCAGCTACACCTGTTTTTCAGGGACTTGGTGGCAATGCCACAGTTGTTCCCTCTTTCCTTCTCCATATTCCCTTTCCTTTGATATCTCCAGTACACATTATGAAAATTTATCATGAAAATATCTCCAGAGCTATTGTTGATATGTATTTTGTCTTTGGAAATTCTGTTGATGTTTGTCACCAGTGCGACTGGTTCTAATGTTATGACTTAGCTTAGAGACTCAATCCACTTTCTGCGGTTTTCATTCTGGCAAAA